ACCTCTATCATATCCCCCCTTAGTCTCTTCTTTTCCAAGCTGAAGAGTCCTAGCCTCTTTAATCTCTCCTCATATGAGACCCATTCCAAACCCTTAATCATTTTAGTTGCCCTTTTCTGAACCTTTTCTAGTGCCAGTATATCTGTTTTGAGTTGAGGAGACCATATCTGTACGCAATATTCGAGATGAGGGCGTACCATTGATTTATATAAGGACAATAATATATTCTCAGTCTTATTCTCTATCCCCTTTTTAATGATTCCTAACATCCTGTTTGCTTTTTTGACCGCCTCTGCACACTGCGTGGACATTTTCAGAGAACTATCCACGATGACTCCAAGATCTTTTTCCTGGCTTGTTGTAGCTAAATTAGCCCCCATCATATTGTATGTATAGTTGGGGTTATTTTTTCCAGTGTGCATTACTTTACATTTATCCACATTAAATTTCATTCGCCATTTTGTTGCCCAATCACTTAGTTTTGTGAGATCTTTTTGAAGTTCTTCATAGTCTGCTTTGGACTTAACTATCTTTAGCAGTTTAGTATCATCTGCAAACTTTGTCACCTCACTTTTTACCCCTTTCTCCAGATCATTTATGAATAAGTTGAATAGGATCGGTCCAAGGACTGACCCTTGGGGAACACCTCTCCATTCTGAGAATTTACCATTAATTCCTACCCTTTGTTCCCTGTCTTTTAACCAGTTCTCGGTCCATGAAAAGACCTTCCATTTTATCCCATGGCAGCTTAATTTACATAAGAGCCTTTGGTGAGGGACTTTGTCAAAGGCTTTCTGGAAATCTAAGTACACTATGTCCACTGGATCCCCCTTGTCCACATGTTTGCTGACCCCTTCAAAGAATTCTAATAGATTAGTAAAACACGATTTTCCTTTACAGAAACCATGTTGACTATTGCTCAACAGTTTGTTTTTCTATGAGTCGGACAATTTTATTCTTAACTATTGTTTTGACTAATTTGCCCGGTACAGACATTAGACTTACCGGTCTGTAATTGCCGGGATCACCTCTAGAGCCCTTTTTAAATAATGGCATTACATTAGCTAACTTCCAGTCATTGGGTACAGAAGCCGATTTAAAGGACAGGTTACAAACCTTAGTTAACAGTTCCGCAACTTCACATTTGAGTTCTTTCAGAACTCTTGGGTGAATGCCATCTGGTCCTGGTGACTTGTTAATGTTAAGTTTATCAATTAATTCCAAAACCTCCTCTCATGACACTTCAATCTGTGACAGTTCCTCAGATTTGTCACCTACAAAAGCCAGCTCAGGTTTGGAAGGCAGCAAATCACCAGAGAGGATTCCATAGGTGGAAAGAGCTTGAGATGAGACTAAGGTTAAAGGTCACCATATATGATCAGCATCACGAGAAGATTGCATCAGAGTCTCTTTACTGGCAAAATGTTCTGAAAAGACTCATTGCCATTGTGAGAATGCTTGCTACCCAAAACCTAGCACTGCGCGGCACTTCAGATCAGCTGTATGTGCCAAACAATGGAAACTTCCTTGAAATTGTGGAGCTGATGGCTGAGTTTGGCTGTACTCCAGGAGCATCTAAGTCTAAGTCACCACCTAAGAAATATACACACACCACTACCTTTGAAAAACAATTCAAAATGAGATCATACAGTTACTGGCAACAAAAGTCAAACAGAAGATTGTGGCAGATCTGAAGTCAGCAAGATATTACTCTGTTATTCTGGACTACACACCTGACATGAGCCATACTGAACAAATGACTTGAATGGTGTGTTTTGTAACACCAGAACCTAGTGAAAATGTCCCTGCAATAGTGACTGTCAGAGAGCATTTTCTAGAATTTATTAACATCGATGATACTACGGGAGTTGGTATGACAAATGTGCTTCTTAAAAAGCTGGAAGATATGGGAATTGCGATAGCTGACATGAGAGGTCAGGGCTACGATAATGGTGCCAACATGAAAGGAAAGAACAGAGGAGTGCAGACACGGATCTAAAAGTTAAACCCTCGACCTTTTTTTGTCCCATGCAGTTCTCATTCATTGAACTTGGTGGTGGGTGATGCAGCATAGGCTTCTAGTGAGGTTGCTGAATATTTTAATGTAATTTGAAGCATCTATGTATTTTTTTCTGCATCAACTCATCGATGGCAAATTTTGAAGCAACATCTGGGAACATCCTCTCTGACACTGAAACCACT